CAGTATATATTGAGTAGTATAATTTTAATATAGATTTTCCTTTCTTAAAATGTATATTCTTTTTTGCCACCCTCTGTAGTTACTAAATTAAACTTTTTTGTATTTAATTATCTCTAAATGATCTATTAGACTTACTGCTCATTGTTTTGATACATAGTCAAAATAAATAGCAAAGAATATCTGTTCAAAATTATTTTGAAATTTTCTGCATCATAATAGATTACTTAAACCTATATCTCAAATATCCTGACCATGGTGCTTTAAGTATTTGGAACAAAATGTGGCTTAGTTTCTCTATAATTTGTATACAATAAAAAGTAATTGAAAGAGTCAATTTCATTCTTTACCACGGCATAAAAGGAACTGTATTATTTTCTAAAACATATTTAGAGATGACTGATTCTATATTCCACAGAAGTTAGTATTTTACTCCAGAATATTTTTTTAATTTGAAAATTTCATTACTATTCTATATTTCTTTCATAGCATATGATCATTTTAGAATCACTGATAAATTCCCTATGGTATTTCTGGTTTTGTCAGCTTGATGTTATTTTTAACTATTTGGAATGAAGTAGTAGAGAAAGTTAGAAACAGTTTTAAATTGCATTATGTTACAATATATATCAATGTAGATTATTTTTAAAAATACACTGGCTAAATAATTCTTTATATAGCTTACACTTCTCCTAAACACAATTCATAACATTATTTCAAGACATTAAACAAAACACAGCTTCCTGGGATGTTGTACAGAATTGTATTTGCACTATGGTTTCCATACATATGGGATTTAATTATTTTATTCAAAATAATTATTTCTGGCTGTGGTATGTTAATAAATATGCGCTTTGCAACTAAAAACAAACAAAAAGAAAACATAATCCTTAATTTATAAGCTAGTCTCCAACAAGATATACCTAATTTTGAAAAATTAAGATGCCTATCACTTACTTCAAAAACAAACAAAAAAAATAAATCTTTAGCCATGGAATTTTAAATCTTGTCCATCAGTTAACCCAATATCTTTATTTTATAGATGTTAAGTAAATTCTTCAAAAGTATGTAACTATTTTGTGGCAGAGTCAGAATAAGTCCCCTAGGTTTAATTCACTTTTGCTTTTTACTATTCCATTCCTGAACGTTTAAGACAGAATAACAAAAATCTTACAACTCAAATTACCTGCTAGAAAAGATAACTTTATATTAGATATTATCCTACAATGAAGGCAGTGATTAAAATGCTAAATACTAATATTCATCTAAGATAGCAAAGCAATGGCATTTACCTTAAATTTACGTCTCTGCTCTGCACAGCTGTTGAAGAACCACAAGTCTGTCTCATGGCTGTAAATGTAACAAGAACAATAATGCGACCAATTTTCATATCTAAACTAAATTAAGTAGCTTTGTCATAGGCAGGAAAATAGATAATGTATTTTACAAAAAAAGTTTAAATGTACAGATTATGGAAGTGTGCATTTACATGCTAGTGTGTGAGTATGTGTGTGTGTGTGTGTGTGTGTGTGTGTGTGTGTGTGTGTGTGGTGTTAATTTACTCTTTCTAACCTGAAAATAAGTTTCTTGAAATTGAAAACATTTATGTATTATTCTCTTTGGTTAACTTTTTAAATTATGGATCACTAAAAGTATATCAAATCTAGTACATGATATGAGATATAAATAAATACATAAATTAAACAAATTAAAATGAGAGGTTGTCTTTGGCTGTTATATTAGGGTATATTTTCTGGGATACATAATAAGAAGGTAAAGAAGAAGTATCTGGTAATGCTTAGGTCAATATCAACTCCAATTTGCATCACAATCTTTATATATTATTCATCAATATGTCAATAATCAATGTACCTACTGACTGGACCTATTCAGTTGGTGTTTCATGTAATAGTTAGACAATGTATACATGTTTCAAATACATATATTCAGATATCTATACATGAAGGTGAAATCACTACTACAATTGTACTCAAGCTTGTCAGATGTGATGTTTATTCTTTCCATTTTGCATTAGACATGCTAATATCTATGCCATCCGTAGCACAAAAAACTGAAAAAATGTAAATGGAAAAAATAATAGTAAATGCTAGTCTTCTAAAAATATATTCTTTACCATGTCACACTTCAAATCTGGCCACCACTTCTTAAAAAATAAAAGAAATTCAGCCGAGCGTTAATAAGCAACAGAATATTGTTCTTGTGACTTGAGCCATCCAAACAGTTATTTCAAATCTGTATTTTCTTTCAAACTTTATAAAATAGTCCTCTATCAAAACTATGTTTTATAGTAGATAACACAAAGTATCTCTTTTGGTTCTCTAAAGATGTCATGCCTGCTATAGTAAGAACTGCCATGATCTATTAAACACCAAATACCTTGCCTTGCAAGTACAGATTTTGAAAATTTTCAATTATCCTTTTGAAATTTAAAATATAATACACCAACGCTTTTATACAAGTTTTGTCAAACTCTTAGTTTAGTAGAAAAACAACTACATTGTGAGAGAATCATATGCGAAAAAATGTTAATTGTCAATTTCATAATAAATTATTACAAATTTTAACAATAATATTCTACTCTTTTTTTTAAACATAGTGGCAAATAGTGCACTCATGCTAAATGGTATTTACAGATACAAGGATAAGCATTTCCTAATATCCCTGTTTGACAACAGATGTGTAAGCTAGTATAAAATGTTCTTAGGTTTTTATTAGATTTTTAATACAATCCCAGCATGTCTCCAGTTGCTAAGCTTATCAATTCCTATGAAATACTAAAAATTTAGGCTTACATCATATTAATTGCAGTGTATATTTTGGTGAACAGGTAAGTCTTCATTATTTCTAAATTCTCAATCATAAAAACCAACTTCCCATTCCTAAGACACTTTGGTATGAGATCTCAGTAAAATTACTAAAATAATACTAAAATACTTGTTTCATAATCTATACTATGGAAATATATTCAGATCAATATGCATCACAAAACACGAAAAACAAGTGACACAATGAAAGTCTTTGTAGCAACGGTCAGCAAATGCAATTGTTAAAAGGTATTTATAATACTTTAAATCACTCTTTCATGCTAAAATAACAAAATTGGAGACTTATGCTCAAAATTGTATTTAGACATTGGTGCACAAACAACAACTTCTTATTGTAAAGCCATTAATGTTCCCACATTCTATGTGTGGGTGTTTTCTTAAAAAATGTACATGATGGCTAGTCAAATTATCAAATTTTGACTTCCAATACAACAACAACAACAACAACAACAACAACAAAAGAAAGTAGAAAAACTAAAGCCCAGCTGTTCTTTCCAGAGATATCCTGGTAACCAGTAATATTGAAACTTCAACTGGACTTAGCTTTGGAGAGGAAGGAACAACTGCACATTCCTCTACTTTGTCAAGAAATATGATAAAATAGAAATAGGACAATAAAATAGAATTAGGATAGTAGTGTTTTTCAGGTACTCAAAACAATTACTTCTTTCCTATCTTTGCCTTATGTTGCCACCATCTAAATCTCCTTTTCTCCACCAACAAGAAAGCAAAATTCCCACTTTAAAGCCATAGTGAGGATAAACATTTCACTTGCTATCTTCTGTGACTTCTATGTAAATATTTCTGTCATGTAAATGCATGAAGAGACTCTCATGGAATCAGATAACTCCATGGAAATGCTATACTCACTGTTATAACTTGGGGGTGGATATGATGGCGAGGAATGTATGACAAAGAATTATTGATAAGTTAAAATGTGAGTTTGATTGTAAAAGATAAAAAAATAAAAAGACTCTTAAACTCGGACTGATTCAATAAAACTTTCATTTCCAGTCATGGCAGACATCTGTACTTCAGACTGTTGAAACATCTCTCTTCCCCAAGTCCCTCTTCTTCCCACTCATCCTCCACAGTGACTTTGCTGCCAAGAAAATATATTTTCATCTCAAATTTGTTTAAGGACCACACACTTAATCCAGTTTTTAGGTAATAAGTGATTCCTGGATTGTGTAGATCAGTAGCCTATGATTGTCATATAAACTAAGCTTCAGAAGGCTATTTTGTAAGACTTGGTTACTAATAACTGTGAGGACACCTGAAAATAAAAACAGACAGGTCATAAAAAATGTTTTTTGTTAAAATAAAGTGATAAGAGATGTTTAAATCACAGTTTGCCTCATTAGACAAGGATATAGCACTATATAACACATGATTCTGGAAAAAGCATTGCTTATCTTTCAACAAAGCTGGTGAATAATTGAGATTTGTTTTATGCAATTCCAAATGCTGCCTTCCAAACGTTTAAAAACTACACCTTAAAAAAGTTTCTCCCCCTCACAAAATATCCCATATACTTGGGTTAAGAAAACTATATAAAACAATGGTTATATTACATAAAACAAAGTTACTTTAAAAGACATATATCCTATCAGTTTCACAGGACAAACATAGTGAGTAAGGACAACAAACTCCAGAATGTGTTTTTATAACTGTAGCAACAGCAATAACTCCTTGGCAAACTCAAACAGTTTTTTTGGCAATCCTGGAGGTTTTCTACTTTTGTCACTTGGATACAACTGCAGAAGGGTTGTCTAAGATTGCTTTGTTTCCTTCCACACAATTTTACTATGACTTTGCTTTTAAGAAAGAATTTTCCCATTTCAACCTATATTCTGATAAAATTCCATTAAAATCCCACAAGAGAGTTCTATGCAACATTCTTTATGCCTATGTATACCAAATGTGGTTACTATGTAATTTTTGCAGGGAGTGACCTTGTAAACTTTTGAAATCTATATTAATAGAAAATTATTTCTTGTCCTTTAAGAAGACAAAATGAATTCTCTTTATGAATTAAAATTACTTACATATGTAAATGTAATAATTTCCTGTATGTATAAAACTGGGTCTGCACATCTGTTACCCTTATGATCATCTTTTAAAATAAGACCCCAAGGACAGGAGTGTTTTACTAACCTGCAGTGGTCTCTGTTTATCACTGCTCTTAGGAGATTTCAATCCACTTGTTTGCTGCTGTAAAAGAAGTTGTCTTGCTGCCTGTAGAGCCTAAAAGCAAAAAAGAGAACAATATTTAAATATTTTACTGAAAGTAAAATTGATTGTAAGTTATTCCTTGGTTAATAGAAAAAGGCTTCAATGTATAAGAACCCGCCTTCCTTCTGGAAAGAATAAGTATTATTTATCTTTTAATATGAAAAACATTGCAAAACACACGTATGCAACTTAACTCAAAATCACAAAGATGCACGCAATCCTACAGAAAATAAAGTTAATTTGTTTAAAGTATTTAAAGAGGAAAAAAAATCATAAACTGCATCAGTAACCTCATTTCCACAAGGAACTTGTCTTTGAGTGTTCAACTAAAATGCCCACTCCCTTTTAAATTATCATTCAATTTGCATTTTCATATTACAATTTTGAAGCAAAAGCAGTAGACTTCAAGTGTTACCGGAAGCTGTAATTAAATTTGACAAATCAACATCAGATTATCTTGAAAGTGAATTAATAAGGATTTTCACTAAAGATTAAAAACACTTTTTTTTGTACTTACAATTCAAGGGGAAACCTCTCCTTTGACAAAATAAAGTGCAGTTTTAATGCCAAATAAAATTGAGTGGTTTTCATTTGCATTCTTAGCAAAATCAGAGAACAAAGAAATTACCACTCAACCAATCAGGTTTGTTTCTATGTGTGACAGAATACCAATCAAAATAGAAGATGTTTTCATTTATTTTTATGTTTTCTTTCCTACTCAGGAAAATAAAACTTCACATAAGAAATTAATATGAGCATTTCATTTACTAGAGGAAGGACAGTTCAGTAAATGTACTATATAAACTTATCATATAAAAACTAGTGTCATAAAACAAAATGCATAGTAAATTGTTTTAAAGGCAACAGTATAAACTAATTAAAGAAAACTTTTAAGAGCCCCTTTAAAAATTCATTTTCTCTCTTGACAACTGAGTTCAATGAACACTAGTGATGAAATTTTTCACCACATAACACAAAAATAAATCATTGCCCTACTATGTTATTCACTGTTTTCAAATACAAGATTAATTTTTCACAATGGGAAAAACATTATTGGATTACTATTATTCTATAATAATTAAGATCCTCAGCTGATAAAAAGTACAATTTTGATTGGAATCAATGATCTGGTTTTTAAGAGAGTTTCTAGTATCCATGACAACAGTTGCTTTGACAAGATGTGCATATGGCATTACACTGCCAGCTGGTGTGAACAATGTTTGAACTACTGCATTGAGATGCTGAGCAAACAGAAAAAGTTGCCACGTCTTAACCCTCAGGGAAGGCAGTCATCCCCTGATCAATTATGAAAAGACAGAGAGAGGGCTGCTACAGTCTGGCTCCAAGCAAGTTTTCTGAAAAGGCAGGCAGACATAGAAACCAAAGTAAACAAACTGAATGCACTATCACCATCTCCTAACAACATTGATTTGTCTTCCCATAGCAGGATCTGGCATTAGTTTGTAAAGCACGCTTTTTACATTTGGAGACACACTCATCATAAAAATCTTCCTTTTGTTTTTTAAACTTTTCAAGTAATTACAAGTCAACTTCAATATGTCTAAGGCTGCTACATTCCAGTGAATTCAGGCAATTTGTTAGAGTTCAGTTTGAAGAAAAAAAACAATTGAAAACTAATACCACAATTAATTTATTACCACAAAATTCACTATTTGAAAAGATTCACTAGATATTCTAAATAATATAGCTTTATTCTTTTAATTGCAACTTATAAAATAACTACAAATGATATTATTTTCAAATGGCAATTACTATAGGTGACTTAGTCTGCATCTATGTAAAACTCTCAAAATAAAACATTCATTCAATTATTTTTCCAGGTAACGTCAAAATCCACACAAAGTTTAGCTATCTTCTTCATGTAAAAAAAAATTGAGTTGATTCATGTATTTTGTTTATATACAGTCTTAATTTATCTTTGATTGTGTAGTATTTTATTATTCTTAAAAAATCCTAATAAACACAGTTTAGAACCTTGGAATCATGAATGACTAGAACTAAAAGTGATCTTGGAAATCATCTAATCCAACCCTCTCATTTTAGCAAATGAAAAAAATGAAACCTAGAGTAGTCAGTTGCTTTGTTCCAGGTCACAAAGCAATTTATGAATGCTTTGTTCAAGGTCTTCTGGCTTCCAGGTCAGAGTGCATTCCAGAGTACCATATTGTCTCTATTTAGCCAAAGGATTCATTAGATGGCAACCAGAAAAATTTCAGTAAAGGGGAATATAGAATAATAAGTTATTCTTTACCTGTAAAGAGAATGTATCCATTTTTTCAGACCTTAAATGGAAACTGACAATATAATCTTTTTGTTTTACATTACATAGAAATATATTACATAGAACAACTATGTAGATAGTATATAGAACAACTATCACAGAATATACACCATTTTTATGGCCAAGTGTCTCCAACATTCTTAACTTCATTACAGACTCCACTGACACCTGATGGAGCTCAGAAATATTGTAATATTCTGATTATCTGATCAATTATTACTTACAGAATTGCAGAATTCCAGTGCTGGAGGAAACCTTAGAAATTGCCTAGCCTAGCTTTCTCATTTTGTAGACGAGTAGCTGAAGAAGCAATATTATAAAAACTTGACTAAAGTCACAAAGCAGTAGCAGACCTGGTCAAAAACTCAGATTCTCTCCAACTCAACAAAACAAAACAAAACAAAACAAAACAAAACATGTCTGAGACACTGTCCATTTCACCAACCTGCGTTATATTAATTCAACTCAACTTAAGTAACCAATAGATTATACTGTGCAATGGCAATACAAAAACACTAGAAAATTAAACATATTATAACTTTTGTTCATCAAATTATCAGTGCCAAAAGCATGCACTTAGACTGTTAGTAAAGGAGCAATAATAACAGAGGAACACCACAAGACAGCTGGCTAAAACATGGTTCTTACTTTTAAAGTAGTTTGGTTTTCATATTCATTTACAAGTATCCTTAAAATAGTTGAGGATCATCTTTTAATACAAACTCTTATAACAAATAACTTTTTGCCTATTTCAGCATTCTTTGGGTAGCAGTAGAGATTGCTATAGTAAACATAAGAGGTGGGAGAACAAAAAAACAATTCCAAGAGATCAGGAATGATTTAAAACTCAAGCAGAAATCCTGGCAGTTTGCATTCTAACTGCATGCACCATATGACATTTTTATTCCCAGCATTCTGGATAACACTTTAGGACTGAATTTTAATAAACAATTGCTCAAAGACGTTTAGTTCATCTTTGCAATTTATTATTGTAGCTACTCCAAAGATGAAAGATTATGAGATAAAACACTTCCATCAATATAAAGTGTTAAGTGTCAAATTGCATAAAATATTAATTTGAAAATCACTTGCCACTTCCATCAACACACACAAAATAAAATCCAGGACTATTCATAAATTTCTATGAGTCAGCTAGGCATTTATATGGTCTACCCTCCATCCAAAATTAATTTAGAGCAAAAGGCAAAAGTTGTTTACAAAATTTGTTTTCATAATGATGAATCTGATTCCAATGAACAACACGAAAGAGATTTCTAAGGCAGTCAAACCATATCTAGTTTCCACAAACACATTTGTTTTGAATTAAGAGTGCACTTTGCTTAATGACGTTATCTAATTTTAGTAAAGCTAAAGAAAATTAAGATAGGGCATTTTAAAAATTGGAATCAGATTTAATTAACATACTTTTTATAAAGGAATAAAATTCTGTATAATAGACTAAAGGTATATATTTAGTTAGCCTACAGAGGTGTAGTAATATACATGTTTTCCATAATTTAGTGCCTTTCGCTCTAAAATAATTATTGAAAACATCATTCCTGACAGTTGCTGTGTAATTTTAACTAAACTAAACTTTTATATAAGAAAAGCAAAGTTCAAGCCATATTACTCTTCTGTAATAGCAAGAATTTTATGCTTGCTATGAAAACCTTGCAGATTAAGTCTAATGAATAGGTCATTGTGATAATTAATTAAGGATGGAAAAGCTTTGTAGCCTGCCATATAAATATTTTTTTCCCTGAAGAACACTGGAAACTTTCACTAAAAGTAAGAGTATAGTTTAGAAATACCCAAGAAAACAAAAAATGTTGAGTATGCTAAGGCTTATAAATAACTTCTATTTTTTCAAAGTAAATATATGTATATTTGAGGAAAAAACAGACATCAGTCATATCTCACCCCATAAAAATAGGAATGCTTAACCTATCAGCCTGTTGCATTTGAGACATTAAAATGAAAAATGACATCTACGCCCATTAATATCTTCAATGTATAAACAGCACAGCGTGACACATTCTTGAGAGCTGAAGGCTACAAAATCTCTCTGAAACATAAATAACAAAGCACTCAGAAGCATATTTGATGTTGATATTCATCTCTGAGAAAAACACTGTTGCCTAGGCTTCTTATGAAAATAGATGCAGCCCAAATGGATCTTCTGTAATTGGTTTCAGATAGCGAGGTCAGAAGAAATATGATACAAGAAACGATTATGTGGAACAGGCGAAACAAGAATGTTTACACAGGCACTCCCTAGTTATACTGACAAGGGGGGTATATACTTTGCAGATAACCAGAACCAAAAAAAAAAAAAAAAAAAAAATGCCAGCAGGATATCCAGAATTTTGCTTCTCATACTCATATATTTCAACCTTTAACATATTATGTCTTCAACATGTTACTTTGGCTACTGAAAATATAATAAGTTTTCAAATATAGTTTCCTTATCTAATTATTTTCCCAAGTGTGACTGATAAAAAGTATATTCAGATCCCTCCAGATAGGATATGAATTCCTATTCTGTTTGGTTTTCCTCATATTATTTTCTCACAGAATAGAATATACTGATAAATGTAATATGAAGTCTCGGAATGTTCGTTAATAGGAGAAAATTAATCATCTAATTGTCATAACTTATTTTCAAGTAGCAATCTATCAGAGTGAAATTATGCATTAGTAGCTAT